TGCGGTTGCAATAAATTTACTGCATGTTTGAGTTTTTGATAATTACAGAGAGTGAAAAAAATACGTATATTTCGATATTGTATTTGAATTTTATACCAAAAATTTATCTCAACGTCTTATTTCTTGTTGTCATTTTTGAAGTGCTGTTGAGCGAAATATTCATACGTCCAAAGTTTGACGGTTGAATTTATCCTTATTTCTCAGTAACAACAACAATGCATTAGCAGAAAGTCTATTGTTCAATATTCAAAGAATCTTATTGACGATGCAGCCTCTATTGGAACAAAGCTTTATTGTCGTAATTGTTGCTTGGAAACTGTTCGTGGATGCCTCCGTCTCAAGATGCCGATTTTCAACTATGGTTTCAACGAAATAAAGTAAAAGTTACTGTTGCTGTTGTTGTTGCTTCTGCTGCTACTGATGTTGTTGTCGTTGTTGTTGCCGTGCGTTCAAAATTCATCAAACAATACATGGCAACGATAGTGTGCACATATGACACGTTTGGCTGCCAAATTTAATTTGCGAATAATTAGATGATTTTAGGATTGTTACCAATAGTAATAGAGCTAAAGTAAAATGATTAATCGGTATTTCAATCTTGACTACGTAATGGTTTATTGTCATGAAGTCTCATCATCGAATTCACGGTGTTCCTGGATCAAATGAGCGCAGTATCCCCGACAATACTGGAATACATACTTCGATTCTTTTTTTTGCCACGTAAATCTGTTTGGGAAATGTAGAATTTAGACCGAGCGGTTTACATTAACCATGTTCCTTCGCCAAGCTCGCAAAAAATACCCCAAGACAAAAAACCAGTACAATTATTTCCGTACTAAGGTAATAGCCTTTTTACGCAAATAGCGATGGATAAAATAGAACTGAAAAGTATGGGAGAAGGAATGAGTGGATATGCAATTTGAGTAAGTCTTTGCAGAGAAGAACGTATCCGATATAGTACTATTTCTCGTTTATTTAATCTAAGATGCATTCACATAATACTTTAAGAGGAGATTATTAGTATTACTAGGAAACGGGAACCGTTGTGAGTCCGGAGAGCGAAAAATTCACATGATTTACAAGTAACTAATCAGGAACTTTTTCCGATGGACGTGATCATAACGTCATCATCATCAATCACAATTATTGGTCGAAATCACGTGCCGGACAGAGAAATTCATGTGATTTGAAATTTTTTCATAGTGCGTAGACAGTAATAGTCCTTCGCTTTGCTCCGGACAATAATACACCGATAACAAATGCCACTTAATGTATAAGTATTATTAAAGTATAAAAACCCCAGGTTAAAGTTTTTTTTCAACTTATCTGAAATCAGCATGACAAAACCGGTAGCAATCACGCAATTAAATCGACTTGTTGAATGCCTCATCGATAAAGTAAAAACGTATACAATTGATCTTGGATATTATCTCCTTCAAAACCCCTCCTCAAAAGCCTCTCAGTTTTTGCAATGGTTTGAGCAATTAGACGAACACAAAAAAGCTCTATACACTTTATACTGTCTAAGAAGCTCACGTGTAACTACTTCATCATCGTTCCGAACAAGAGGCACGGGCAGTCGGGGCGTCTCTCTAGCACTACCGCCCCTGGAGTATTATTTTGGGAATCGACAAGAGAGGTGTACTATCACGCTGATAACTTGGCGAATCTTAATACGTGGACTAAGTATACCATTAATACTGATCTAGCGAACCGCGTTCGAGAAAAAATGGGTAATTTTACGTTTAGCCCACCCTATGCTAAAAATGGATCAAAATGTTATATATTCAATACACGTTATTGACAATAAAGCTCCTCTGACTTTAATTCATAAAAAACTAAATCACATTTGATTGAAATAAATACAGCTTTGTAATGAGGGCAAAAACAGCGGGTGCAAACTTTTTAGAAGGTCTCAGCAGATCAATAATCTTTTTTTTTTTTGCATCAATGTCGACGCTCCCTAGCCGTATTAAGCAGGTCCATTAAAAGGTTGCATTCGTCGATTATGCCTTCTACATTATCTACTGTTTCACGAAGATCATCTTCGGTAATATCGATATTTGAGTAATGCATCTTTGTAAATCTTGAAACGATTTCGCCCAGGACATGTCTATCGACGATATAAACCTTCTTTTCCGGATCATTATAATCGCCGGCTTCGAGATTTTTTTTGACACTTTCACATGTATCTTTGATAAGCTTTTTGATTGCCTCTTTTTCTGTTATCTTGTGGCTTCGTTTTAGGTTACGGATGTGTGTTTCGGAATTTGTCCTCACAAGGAAGGTAGGTATTTTAAACTTTTCACATTTATCGAGGATTTGCATATCGGTCTCCGAGATTCGGTCTTTCCAACAAATGATAATGAAGTCAA